GTGTGTGTGTGTGTGTGTGTGTGTGTGTGTGTGTGTGTGTGTGGTGGGGGGCAGTGATGTTTCAGAGCTTTAGATGCCCCTACAATTTCCATCGTGTCCTTACAAAGCCATCCTGAAAACATGCTATCTCAGTGTCAAAGTGTGCTTGCTGTAAGTGTCAAGACAGATCCACGGGTGCCCGCTTTTAACTGGACTGGAGCCATGACCCTTGCTTGTGATAATTATGGATCCCTTACAGAGGTCTTGAAGACCCTTCCTAGGCTGCTCCCCGTGGAGAAGTTTGGGCTGTTTAAGATCACTCTTTTCAATACCAACAGACACATCGCCCCTCCCAGGACCCTGGGATGCTGCTCTCCCTCCACTCCCCACCCCTGTCCCACCTGCACATGCATCCCACCAACAGGAGAGGTGGAGCGGGGGACTTGGGATCCAGGTGCAGTCCGGGAGCCTCCTTTGCTAGGAGCAACGGGCACTAATCAGCTCAGGGCTGCTGCTTGGAAACAAAAGGCTGACCTGGTCCCTGCATGTGTCTGAGGGTGTCACCTGTTTGTGATCCCGCTTTACTGGGAACTTCATAGCAAATTAGCTATGAATATCTACCAGATTTAGCTGAGTCAGAATAGCTGGACTGAGCCTGGCCTTTCCCAGAGTCGACTGGAAAGTGTGCCTTTCTTCTTTGGTGGCAAAATGTGCCCCTTTGGGTAGACGATCACGTGTCTTTGCAACTTCCGGCCCGGCAGCCTCAGACGCTCTGGTTCCTGGGCGCCCTCCCCCTGCCCCCGACGGGGCGGCTCACCGCTGATGTTGAGCAGGTGGGTGAAGAAGAAGGACTGCTTGTGGAAGTCCTCTATGGCGAGGACGATGGGTCCATCCAGGCTGCTCCGCAGGGTCTTCTTGGAGCCACTTTTGTCTGCGATGAGCGACTCAAGCATGGTCCGCACCATGTACAGCTTGAAAAGGAAAGGAAGATGGGAAGGTCAGGGGCTGGCCCTCCATCCAAGGGAAAAGGTTGCTTTGTGCTGTGTTTCTATTCTTTTTTTTCTGAAGATATCTGCCCTTAAAAAGCACTGTCTTAAGGAAGCACCAGTTTAGGGTTGGAGAAGTAAATTTGGAATGTGTAACCTTCAAGAGGGAGACTGGCCAGCCTGGCAGGATGTTCTGCCTGGGGCCGGCGGCCTCCCGGGTGGGAGGACCTGGTAATACCAGGTCTTTCAAGGCCCAGGGTCCTGCCTGCTCTGCTTGGCCCTAGGGCACGGGCATCAGAGGAGAACCTCATCCCACGTCACCCTGGAGTCGCTCCCTGCTTTACTGGACAGCCACGGTGGCACCAGGGGTAGAGCACTGGACTCAGAGTCAAAAGAATGGGGTTCAAGGTTAGGTACGCCCCTGACTTGCTGTGTGACCTTGGGCAACAAAGTCCCACTCTGGGCCTCAGTTTTCTTATCTGCTAACGTGACGAGGTTGCACCAGATGCTTTCTCCAACCAGTCCCTTTCAGCTCTGACATTCCAAGGAACTGTGAAATGGGGTAGGATCAGAGCAAGCCCCCCACCACCTCAGGTTTCCGACCTCAAGACCGAGGGACAGTGCCTCTGCAGGCATCAGCTGCACGGTACAGCTTGCCGAAATGCTGGGTGGAAAGCAGGTGAAGATCGGTACTTACACAGGAGGCCTACTAGACAATTAACTCCTGCTTACAGAGAGCCTTAAGTGCAAAGGGCGCAAGTGCTAATCTACATCTTTCCACATCATGTGTCTTTGAATCTTAGGGCTGGAAGGGGCCGTGAACAGCCAGGCTAGTCCATTCCTGCTGCCTCCCGGAGAAGGGGAC